GAGTGGAACGATGATAAATCAATAGGGGCTCAGCACGATGCAATCTGGTGGCTGAACATGTGATGACGACAAATATAAGCAAAATGTGAGAATTGATCAGAATCGATCAGTCCGTAGTTAAGACGAAATTTTTTGGCAATTAACAGTTCCGTTCTGGTAACACAGGACTCGATCCTGGAAACCGGACCTAAACAGCAACACCCAAACTCTCTGTAACCTCTTCCACACCTTTCTGACAAGTCACACGTTGTCCATTTTGCCGCTTCTGCAATCATGGAGGTAAGGAAAACAACGCTCATCTCGGTGGACATGTGTAGCACATAGCCGAACCATCGTAGTTGATAGAAATGAATGTTATCCGTCACTGAAGTTCACCAAATTTCTAATCACTCCGTTACGAATCCGTTGACGCCATCCCACATCAGCAACGCTTATGAGGCATCGGTGGTCGAAAAGGTTTGACATTAGCTGTCCGCAGAGGCGACGTTTCGCGACCACACAACAATACAGCCCTTACTACAGCCTAGTACACGAGACCACCGAGGACAAGTGAAATGCATTTTGACGCCGCAAGTGACGTAAATTAGCATACTTGATTCGGGCCGTCGAGATTCATACAATGACTTCATCAGACACATACCGGTCAGAGCTGAAACAACTATCGAGGTATGCAAAATTCTCCACAACCTCCAGTGATTTTCCCTGAATTGTAAGGGGCTATGTTCGGAGACTGAATGTTTTAAAGCACGACTTGCGCTTAGATTGTGCGAGGTGCATGTCGGAAAATAGTATGATGGTAATCAGTCTATTCAATAGAGCTTATATATTCAATTCGTTTTCAAATATGAAGAGGATGTCGTCTATATCGACAAGGGCTTCACCAGCAACGAGATGGCCGAGTTGGTTAAGCGTGAATTTTACTAACCGGAAGGTCCGTGGTTCGAATCCGACCTTCGCCACTCGACTTCCCCTGTCTAGGCTTGGGCAACCTGACAGTATCCCAGCCCTCGTGCATCCTTCGGATGGCATGGCAGCTAGGCAAAGGAAGGGTATTACAGCTGAACGCTTCAGCAACGATTTAAACACCTCAGTATTTCACCAATAACGAAGATGAACAGGAACAGACACCCTTGCCGGACGCCGTTTTTATAGGGACTTTTGGATAGCTCATCATACACTCTCACATGCCCCGCGTCTTGGACACGTGCGCAATCGATGGCCACCTCCGCACTATTGGCTTACAGGTCATTCAGGCTAATTCACTCGAGCTGCTATACTGAACTCACAAGACCTGGGCCTGAATGGTCCAGAAATGTCATTAACAAAAAAAGCAACCGAACAACGTGATGCAGTCGACTGCAGAGAACGACGCTGTAAAGTGAACAGCAGCAAAGGCCACTTGGGATAGACGGTTCGATATGGGGTTTAGAGCCACGAAGCTGGGAACGAAATAGTTCAGTACTGGTTGAATTGACAAAGATTAATCCTGTTTCCATAGGATGTTACGGGCATTAGCTCGTGCTTGTGTACTATTGTTTAGTATCTTGGTTAGACTGAAAAGCAGGTTGGAAATCTTTCTGACACGCATTTAACCAGATACAAGGGAAATTTGTATTCTTGCTGCAATAATTAAACGGCCCAGAGGCAAGAGATTACGGCCAACATTGAAACAGCGGTTATGTACGACTCTGGGTGATCTTCACCCTGTACTTAATTCTACTATTAGCCTATTGCAGAAAACTGAGGAAATTCATGAGTGGATTCCAAATAAGTTTCGCTTCACCAGAAGTTCCTCCTTTTACACTCAGCACATGGTTAATTACGGTCGCGGGCCACCTATTACACTTTCATTGACAAGCCAATAAAAGGTTTTGCGGTCTTCGTTTCTTAACACATTATCACTACCTAGAAATACAAATGAAAATGTAACGAGCGTAAGCTCTACTACAACATAGCAGTACTCACTGCTAGGCTCTCGAACCAGACTGCGCAATGCTCTTGATCAACTGTGCAACCCCTGAGACTACCGGATTTCGCCCAAAAAGTAGCGAAAAAAACTGGAAATCTGCCTCAGTCAGTAAAAAGCTATTTCTATTTGGAATTGCTGCCGTGATTAATTCAGCTGTAGCGAGTTATGGAACTGCGATGACTCCCTAACAAACAATGAACTTTCACTGTGAAATTAAGCGGAGTTTCAAAACTTACCTAGTATGAAAATAGCCTTCGCGTTCTTCAACTTGGCGTCAGCCATCAGGAAAGCGACACACGACGATCCACGGGTGCGAAAGGTGGCGTGTGAAATTTAAATCACTTCCAGTGGCAGAACAGGCACGTGACTCGTATAAGCACCAATCTAATTAGGCGTGAGTTTCCGTCTAGGCTAGTTAGACAGACAAGCAAACAAGCGCACCAACCGGTGTGTCTGCAATTCGCCGTCGGACCAGTATTTTCCGGCATGGTTGCCCTACGCCCACAATAAACGACAAGGAAACGTCAGTCTGATTGGCTGATGGAGAGAGGGAGAGATAGAGAGAGACGCTAATCAATAACCCGATGGGTGCTTGCGCCGATTTTGAATAAGGCCACGGGCCGACGAACCAGCGCACGAAGGGCTTGGAGGATTCGCTAGTGAATTGGTTTATCTCTGTCGTTTGATAGCAGGACGAAAGCAGATAAGTGCCCAAACGCAGTTCGCACGTCTTGGGAACTGTGAGGAGTAAGCAACCTATAGAAGAGTTTCGGTGGCTATGTTGAACCCATCTAATAATAAGTGTGCAGCAAGCGTCAACAACACTGGTGACACAAGGGCGTCTCGCCAATTGGTTTTCCATACAGGCTATTGCTACTCGCAATCGATAAAAAAAAGTTGGAAGCGAGGGACTAAACATTAAAGCCTGAAAAAAGGTATGACTAAGAGGATGCGTCAGTCAGTCAGCTAAGAAATATCGGAAAGGGGGAGTTATTCGGCTGTGGTACCTGTACATACGAAAGTCAAAACGATGTTGGCCTGTCCACGTCTAGACAATGACTGTTGAGAAAACAAGTGCGGTCGGACGGTGGACCTCCCGGTCGGCAGTTATCGCCTTATCAGCATTAAGAAGTGACTGTCAGGTTTCTCAGGAAGACCACGGACAAACAGTATTCCATTTCTAAAGGAAAATTGTAACAAAAGCTTGCAACACACCTCTGACACGCAACTTAAGGATTAGAATGACAGGTGGATAGGCACTTCGCGGGCAGCTGGGAAATTCTGTTCATTCACACCTGCTTTCTCATTCATACGGTGCATTCGTCAGGTGCACTCGTTCCATTATTACCTCGTAATAAGGTGAAGCAGTGTGAGTATCTACTACGCCAAGCATGATGCTTTCGGTTTGTGACTGTCGCTGATGACCCTTTTATCAGCAATGTTGACATTGACATCAGCGTACCACCACCGTATAGTCGTATGCAGTTACCTGAATAAAGCACATCATTGACAGCCAGTTAGAAGAAAGCCTTTTGGTGCTAGCACCCCACGAGGTGCCATATCTCCAAACCATCTATTTCGATTTCACTACAGTGAAATCGTCGGATGCTATCAGTTTGACGTTGTCTCGCTTAGCAAATAAAAAAGCTAAGCTTGTCACAAACACAAAACACATCACACATTAAGCAACAAACTACAGGGATTGCTCAAATTCACGTCTTCCTGCTCAGGTTGACAAAGATGAACAGTCCTCAGAAAGTTCGGGATTTGTGGTTAAACCAAATGAGTTAAGCACCTCAGCTGCAGTCCGACTGAGTGTTGACTTTCACGTCCTGTGACTGGATGAAATCAACGAAGATTCGGTTATCCGATTGAGCTCACCAATGAACACTGACCACTCAACACAAGACACTAATGGGCTGTTGGTCGGGTTTCCAGAAGTCGCGTGACTGATTGCCTCCTCAAAGAGGTAGGATTGCCTTGTATGTGATCTGAATTGGACCTGACCCTGAGTAGAATGCTAATGGGTTCTCGTCCGGGAAATTCGAAAAACTGGTTGCAATAGCACTATGAACAGTTCGGAATAAGAATTCCCTCAGAACCTCAAGAGTGATCACACTAAACTGAACCTTCAAGCTAAAGTTAGGCTGTTGAGTCCTGCTGCACTTTACACACCAGTGCCTCAGTGACAGCCCAGATGGTTAACCCTGTCTAAGTTGCATCTTGCTCTGTATGGTCAGCCCAATAGTGCTCTGTGCAGCAGAACGCCAATCTTCTCCCATAGTGACTCTCAGCGGTTAGTTTCACCATGACAGCGGGTGATTAATCACGAAGGAACGGTCAAATCCACGAGCTCCGTTGAGCAAGATTTCATGCAACACTCTTGTCGGAGAAACCAACAAGCCCTTAATCTGGTGATACATTTTTCAAGGAAGTGATATCACTGAGATAACTGTAAAATCCACCCCCAAAATCGGTGCGAAATAGGATCACCAGTTGATTTTAAAAACGAAAATGGTATAAACATACTTAGGTATAAATAGATATAAATGAATGAATTTATATTTAAATAAAAATAAATTCAGCATAAGTAGATATACTTAACTTGGCGTACTTATTGTATTTACTGGTTTGTTTCGCTGGGGACTCATGATAAATTTTCGTTTTTGAGGCAGTTTTCGTTTCCCCTTGTGAGGCTCGTCATACACTAAGAAAACCGGAAAGTATCGCTTTTTGTAGGTTGATAATTCTATCTGCTTGACTGAATAAACATAAATTTCCGAAAAATTTCCGCCAATCATTACTCTCCACGACACGCCCCGCAGTTCTGTTTGAGTTCACGCATTTCAGCTTTTACCTTTGTTGAAAGCTGCATTACCTATCTGATTCACGAAAAAAACTTGCAGTATTTTTCCCTTGAAGTGAGAAGAACCTAATCGCACTTTTAAATTGGGTGCAACAAAATCCGTGATTTGTACAGGTTCCGCTTAAACAACGATGGCTGATATTCGCTCAATTTCCGCTATCTATTCGCCCGTTTGTCCTTGTTTTCGTGGAATGAACATAGTATCATTGGCTCACTTTGTTTTGTGATGTTTGATAGGACCAGTGAAATACGATTGGGAATAACGAAAAACAAAAAATAGGCGTACATACATGTCCATATGCTGTCATTTTGTCCATAAATGATAGAGTTTACGTTGACATACGTGCACTGTTTGTGACTACCCATCCTTCGTAAATCGGCTAGGAATTGTTTCTTCCTTCGGAGTGTTGCTTTCTCGGAGGTTCCTCATAAGAGAGGAACACCGAACTTGGTCAAATGTCGCTTTTATTGAGCAGTATGATTGCTACCGATAGCCATGGTAATATTTTCGTGAAAGGACGGGTGCTGCAGCCAGATTCCCCGGGCCTGGGGATAGAACGGACGGTACTTTTAGGGCACGCAGGATCCTGGTATCTGCTCCAGCCATTTCAGTGGGTACCCGATAAACACCGAAGAAACTGGTAACGCGGAATCCGGCACTGCAGGAACCCCCCCCCGTGAACTATCACAGTCTTGTTTTGCAGTTTTTTAGCCATCTGTTCCAACGTATCACGTCCACTATCGATTCTTAGCTTTTCCACAAGTCGGTATCACTTAGATGGACTCTAAGGACCGGTATGGTACAGAAGAAAAGAATAAGAAGACTGTCTAATATGGAGCCATGGTACTGCTAACTCTCGATTACTGAGTGAAAAAACTTCGTATTGCTACTGTGATCATCCTAATCCATAAACACTCCCCATTGTCAGCGTGACTCGTAATTGATTGTTGCATTGAACGCTGAATGCAGATCTACAGCTATCGTGAACAAGTGATGTTGATAATTACAGAAGCATGAAAGAGATATACTTGAAAGGAATTTATAGGTTTTTCAATTGCTTCAGGAAGCGCCGTTGGTTATGATCAGATTGTTGATGCACACAATGAAGTTCAATGGTTTTGTTCACCCATACGGTGACCTCATCACCTGTAATCACCAATGGTGCTATAAACTAAGAAACAACAATTCATGTCAAATGAGCAAGAATCTGATATCATGATCGCAGCCAAGCTTTCCCAAGCGGGCAGACGGTAAAAGAGAGATGCGCTTGCTGATTTACAATCTTTATGAGAGGAAAAGTAGTTTCGGATTTCGAGAAATACACTCATTTGCAAATCAATTTGGTTTTCATGAGAGACTCAATTTGGGTTCAAGTAGAACATAAGGTTGGCGGAGACTCGAAGACTGCGCCTGCCTGATGAGCCCCAAAAAGGGCGAAACCGGTCGTGGGCTGTCGAATAGTTTTCAGCAACCTTGCAACTAGTTTCCTTTATGAAAATATACCGCGATAGTTTCGAATTTCTATTTATTTCCGTGGTAAGGTTGTTGTTGTTAAAGTGAGTACGCATACTAAGATAAATGCCCAGCTGAGAGTACCCTCCTTCAGTCCTGATATCCTTAAATTAAATCCTTTGTAGAAAGAAGGCTCAGCCGAAATTAGATCTATGCAAATCACAATTGCCATGAAGGGTTTTCTTCACTCTAATTGCCCTGATTGACTGCTATGGTGGATTGAATACACAAAGACAACCATACAGGTCAACTGACTGGAAGGACCGGCAAACATTCAACAGCGACAAGCTTATGATTGCAGCTTCATTTTCTGTCGTCTTGGGGGACATTTCAAGTGGAGTATGTGAAAATTACTTCTGATCGCTTCCAAGCTTCCACCGAGTTTCGTCATCTTGCGACAAGTCAGTAACGTCAGACAGTGAGTGAAGTAGGCTAAAATGTTCGTCGTACCACTGTTTTATCTTTGAAGAATTGAAGAAATGCGGTAGATTTATGTGAAATCGTGATCTTCCCGTCTCTGGAATATCAAGCCCTACATGGGCGAGTGAACTCTAAACCGGCTGAAATCTAAAATGGCGCAGTGAATTATTTAATCTCTCCTGGAAGTTTCACACACCAGAAGAAGCTTTCCGTCCGCCTATTACCAACCAATTTTGTTGTCAAGACTAAGCTATCGTAACGTTAAAGTTAAGCGTCACATGCGAAGGAAGGATATCACTAGTGAACACATGATCTATCCACACCGTAGTCATGCTAACTTCAGTGCAGTACATGGTCGAGGCGAACTTGGTCGGCCATTGGGTTACTTGGATTCATAAAAATTTGTCAACCCATTTTTCTCACCAAGCATATCGTTGGGTCAACATGTGACGAATCACGTGTCCCTAGATCGCGTGTTAACCATTAGACCGACTAAACGAATGCATATGAACTAAACAGCAAAGTGGTCGTT